GACGGAATAATTAATTCTCACAAAGGCGTCCATTCGGGCCGATTAGGGCAGCACGCCGTCGGCTCCGCGGCTCTACTTGTCGAGGAGCCGCTTGCAAATCAAATTCCGCTGAGGTTCTTTCAGAACTGATAGAATCCGCTGCTCCCTCTCCCTCTCCCTCCAGGAAACTTTTCTTCAGGCGAGCCTCTTGGTTACAGTTTATTGTCATTCTTTAGACGCTCCCGTTTCCCCCAAGCGTTTATGTTATTGATGACAATTTTCATTGTGAAACCTCTTTTGTTCATAGGATCTGAGATTGTATTACCGCCAGGTTTGTGGAATAAGCAAGTGGAAGATGATGGAGGCTTCCAAAGTTATTCACGTTCGAAATGTCGGACAGGAGATTTCGGAGGTGGATTTCATTAGTTCTTTCGGGTTTCCTGGGATATAAATCAATTGAAATCTTGATTTTTGAAGAATATTGATTTTTATCTTTTTGTTTGTTTGTTTACTTCTCATGTCTAGAATGACCTACTTCAATTGCTGCAACCATTTGGTGCGGTTTCTAAGCTTGTGATGTTACGTGCAAAAAATCAGGTTTTTATGCCACGCATCTATAGTGTGCTCTTCTGGATTATTGGTTTGCTATTTCTGGAATGTTAGCTCTAGCTGCAAGATCTTCTTGTATTTCTCATTTGTTGGTTGGTACATCACCGCTGCAGGCGCTTCTCCAAATGTATGATATATCTGCTGCTATAAGCGCACTTCAATATTACTCAAATGTTCAACCCAGTGTCAGGTAAATTGAAGGATCTAATCCCTTTATGGTAGTTTTGGTTATCTATAGCTATGTACTACTAGATGATTTTCCTTATTCCTTAATGAGCCTTTCCAACATCTTTGTATGTGCCCCAAATACTTTCAACTTCTCTTTCTATTGAAAATTGCAACTCCAGTGAATCCATTCGGTTGATTTGCCATAAAATAATTACTGTGAATGTTTGATTTGATCCCTCCTGCAGTTTAACTGGTCTAGTTTTACCTGCGACTTGTTTTGTCAGTGAGCAGTACACAAATTTCTATCATATTTATGCTGATTAGGGGCATTCAATTGTATGGTGCCCCCATCCCCATCCTTTGTTTGGTGGGAAATAAGAAGGCTATCAAACACATTACTGAGTTGTAAATTAGCCCCATATGACATATCTGAAGAGAAAATATTCCCTTGTTTACATTATTTCTCATCATCATGCATCTCCTTCTCTATCAGTACATTAGTATGGCCACTTTAACATTGCCAACCCTCAATAAGTATATTACTTTATTGGAAAGCTCAATAAGTATATTACTTTTTTGGAAAGCCAAAGCTTTTTAACTTTATCGAACAAACATATATGGCATAGTATGCAACCATTATATAAGCTTCTCTTTCAGGGATGACTTGAATTGTATTCCCATGAGTAACTCCATTGAAGACGATTACATGATCAACTTTTCATCCTATTTTTCTTCAAAAGCTTGAACTTCAAAAATGAATGCAAAGGGATTTTCTAGTTGTACAAATACCAAGGAAGCTATACATTTATTGAGAGGTTTGATGGAGAAGTATAGAGAGAGTGAGGATCTACATATGATTTTTATTGATTTAGAAAAAGCTTATGATAAGGTTCAAAGAGAAGTTCTTTGGAGAGTTTTAGAGTGCGTTTGGGACAGCTTGTGCATTTCAGGATAAACAACTTATCCTGAAACGTGGCCTGCGTTTAGTGTAAAAATTGAATCGCGTTTTCAGATAAGCGGGCAAAACGCGCAATCCAATGGTAATGCGATGTTTTCAAAAACGCCCCCGCACTTATAAGCTGTCCTAAACGGGCCCTTAAAGAAGAAAGGTGTTGATATGAATTATATTCAAGTCATTAAAGATATGTACACTAGAGCTGTTACTTTTGTTTAACTAAAAGAGGATTGATCAAGTACTTTCCTATTTCCGTTAGATTGCATCAGGGATCAACGTTAAGTGCATTTCTTTTTTATTTAGTTATGAATGCTCTTATTGGACATTTACAATTGGATGTACCTTGGTGTATACCTTTTTGCTGATGATACCCTTCTTGTGTATAAGTCTAGCGAAAGAGTTCAGAATAAACTTGAATTATGGAGGCCTACATTGGAGTCTAAAGGCCTTCATTTGAGTGGATCTAAAACTGATTACATAAAAATGTAATTTTAGTAATAATAGTAGCTCTAGTGGCAGAGTTATAACTATATGTGATCAAATTATTAAAAGGTGTGAACGTTTTAAATATCTCGGGTCTATTGTTCAAAGTGATTGTTCAAAGTGATTAAGTGATTGTGATATAGATGGGGATGTTATTAATAGAATTCAAGTTAGTTGGTTGAAGTGGAGGAATGCATCGGGCCAACTATTTGATAGAAAAAAGACTTGAAAGGAAAATTTTAAGGAAAATTTTATAAGATGGTGGTGTGACCTGCAATGCTTTATGGTGTAGAATGTTGGCCTTTAAAAGAGAATCATGAAACAAAATTAAGTGCTGCTGAGATGAGATTGCTTATGTGGATGAGTGACATGACACTAAGAGAAAAAATACAGAGCAAATCTATTCGTGAAAGGGTTAGTGTAGCTCCAATGACGGACAATATTTCCTTTCTTTGGTGGGAAAATCACTTAAGAGTATTTTGAATTCCACACTCCTCTACACTCAAGCGTTAAAATGAAGAGTAGCACCCAAATTAGATGGACAAAATGTTAAACT